TACGTGAAGCTTCTGGTGGTCTGCCTGAAGATGACATCAGTTCTCCCAAAAATCTTACAGGCGAAAATGACGGGCATGTCCCTAACGTAAGCCTGCCAAGCGTAGGCAAGGCTAAGCCTGTGCTGAACCGTAACAAGGAGGCAGGAGCTCTCCAGTACTCCCGCCGATTCAACCCAACAAGCGCCAACTTGTACATGAAGGTTCCCTCTTCCCTGTATCATCATCGGTCATCCGATCCCAGTATGGATTATTAAATTTCCATCTCCAATATATAAATAATAAATAACCTTCGATCTTCTGTGATTCATTGATTTCAGGAGCTACTACAGGTGTACCCACAAGAGCTTCTACGGGTGCAATGCAAAGAAGCAAGTGCAACGACTGGACGACGACCCCAATACGTTCCAAGTCACGTACTACGGCGTGCATACGTGTCACATGTCATCCACAGCACCATCATCAGGTTCAGGGGGGCCACCCTCGATCACTACTACTAGACCACCATCCACTTCCACTTCCGAGGTGCTTCAAATTCAATCATCATCAACACAACCACCCACTAATTATTCCTCCTCCTCCTCCTCAATCCCCATTCCTCTAAGTAGATGGATTTTTATGGGGTTTGAGGCAACCCCAATCCCAAGCAGAAGAAATACAACCATGGCCATTGGTGATGGTGGTGGTGGCGGTGGCGCAGCCACCCGAGACGGCAAAGAAACGGTGGAATGCCCGGTAATGGATCTTGCCGATGCCATGTTTAATTCTGGGAGCAGTACTAGCAATAATAGCATGGATTCCATCTTCCCTTCCATGCATGAGTGATCATAAATACGCCAGGAGGAGGAGATAGAGCGGCCCACACCTGAATAATACTTATTTGAGTTTTAATTATATTGACAGCAGAGATGTTGATTTTTGGCGGTATCTTTTGATACTTCAATTGGGAATTATGGGAATTGGCCAGTCCGACAACCAAATCTGCACTGCCATTTGGAACACTACGTAAAAACCCCTTAATTGCATTAATATTTGCACCTATCGATCGATATATAATAGTTTTGTCTATGTTAATTATATTAGATGAATGAAACCTTAATTGAAACCCTTAGTTTAGTTTATGCATGGCTTGTGTAGTCCTTTGTACTATTAATTATTAATTAGTTTGTATTTCGGCCTCACCGAGTTAAGATTATTGATTATATATAGGATATTAGGATGATAACTGGATTAACTTTTTTTTTCTGATGATATAAGGAGGGGTGGGGTCTGGATTTGGAATCTTAATGGGCTATTCCGATTTCAATGGTTTGGATGGAATTGGAATCCCATTTCTATTTCTGCTGGAATGATATTCTCTAATTTGAGAGAATGGCCACTCTCTGTTTTTATTGGGGGAATGAAGTTTCATTTCTGCTTATTTTAATTCCCATTTTCATTCTTGTTTGAACCGAACAAACTATAGGAATGAATCATTCCGATTCCAATTCCAAAAGATTTCAATCCAATTTCGATTCCAATTCCAACTACAAACCAAACGGATCCTAAATTAACTAAAAAAAATAAAAAAGAGCTTGCCAACTTTAATTTCCTCCTGCGAGGAACTAGCCAACCGGCCGGATATATCATGAATTAATTGCCTGATTTTCCTAAGATATATAATATTGCCAAGGAATTAATATATCACATCATTCAGTGATTTGCTTAATTACCCTAATTATTAGAGTTACAATTAAAAGAAAGTACTAAAAGGATCAATAGCCAAATCTCGCATGACAGGTGTACAGCAAGACCACTGACTTGTCTTGTTTTAGCTAACTACAAGATTATGAGAAATGAGAGATGCTTAAAATCATCAATAGACTGGACTACGTGGACAACTTCTAATTTAACTTATTCCAATCTAATTTTAATCAGGAAAGGTAATTGAGATGGAACAATTTCAAGATATATACGTATATCATGATAGATTTGCAAAAAATAAAAAACTTAAAATTAAAAAACTAGAATATGATGGAATAATTAGGGAAAATTACATTTAGCAACACCTGGGCACGAACCAATCGTATGATGCATGATGCGACATACACATTTTCTCATTATAATTTCTAAAATTATATAAATTTATATTCTACTTGAGATAATTTATATGTGGATCGCATACACACAGGTACTCGCTATATATATATATATATATTATACGAATTAATGCTATTGAGAACCAGAACTAATCCTATATTGATAAATGCTTTAATTAAAGTTCTTATAGATTAAGCTGCCTGGCCAGATTGCTATATATTATTGGTTAGGAATTGACGTTAAGATCAAAAGTTACATGCGTTTGTACGTGAATACTTGTATAGGTTGGAGCCGTGTTCAAGTTGTTTATCATCCTGGAGCTCCAGAAATTGTTTTGAGCATCGATTGAAGATGGGAAGGGGAGGTCGGAATCAAGAGCACTTTGTAAGGGGGAGACAGCCCAGAGGTTTTCAAGCTAGATTATAGATAGGGCTGTAAAAAAGCCAGACTGAGGCGAGCTTCATTCAACCGCCCAGATGGAGGGGTGGCAACCTTAGCATTTTATTAATGTCTTATATAATCCTCCGTCAAAAGGTTAATCTCCCGTGATAGGTCATGAAAGGAGTTGAAAACATGGAATCCCTGATCGGAGAAGCCCATGTTGCTTAGCCAATTTGTCTATCTATTCCCTTCACGAACTCGAAGAGTATGCTCCTTTCGGAAAAACTTGAAACTGTTGGAGGCCATAGCCTATGATGTTGAGAGTGTTCTGGGGAATGTCATTTATCACGAGAGTGGGTAAATTAGTAATTATTGGAAAATAGTAAAGAAGGCCGAATGAAATTTCTCGGTAATTGCTTTTCAAATTCAGAATTTGTGAACCTGCAGCGTTGCAGAACTGTGAAATTGAGAACTTGCAGAGAGGAGGGCTGAGTCATGCCACTTGGTCACTCTCCTTAAAACCGCATTTGCCCCCTACGGTGTAGCTGAGTGATTACAAATCGGTCGCCAAGATAAAACAGCCCACAGACCACTGGTACATGTGAATTCGCTTACCACACCTCCACGAACCACAGAATGATGCTCAAAAACTCGACACTCGACAGAGAGAGAGAGAGATGTGTTGTGTGCGATGATGTGTTTCAAGGTCGACCAACACTCCTTTTATAGAATGTTCTTAGTCACCCGAATGGACACAAAAGTGTCATTTCAGAGAGAAGTCTCTTTTGAATAGTGCACTTGTTCGAAGAGACACAAAGAAGAAGTGCCACAAAATAGGAAAAAAATCATTTAAAAATAAATTTGAAATTCAAAAGTCAAATCGGTCAAAACCAAAACGATTCGGTGTAACGCGCATATACACGTACACACGTCCTTGCCCACGCCTCGTCTTGACCCAGCTTGGCACGGTGCGCGCGTGTGAAAAGCACTCCCAACCCCCCTCACATGCATGAGAATATCTATAGTGCTTTCCTCTTATGGGTCCTTACCCATAGAGAGAGCAAATCTATAGATATACTTTAACTCAACTCATTTCCCAAGCAATGTGAGACAATGAGTCTTTCCATGCATTCAAAGGTGGGAAGAGGAAAAGACAAAACTAAAAGAGCACAATGGAGGGTGGAGAGATTCTTGAAATTTTGAATCTCCCTCCAATAGTAATTATTCCTTATTTTATTTTGAACAAAAGGAAAGACGTGTGTGAATAGGTGAACGTGCCAAGCCCAAAAATGCTCTCAACAGCACACACCGTTGGCCCCTTACAGCCAAAGTTATCCTGCTCCCTTTCACTTAGGGGTGCAAATGGATCGGATTCTGATATGGTCCTATTTTGTCGGATTCCAATCACCCCCTATCTGATCTAATATATATGTTATTTATTTATTTGTATAAATATTTTATTTATATTATAATTTTTTGCAAATTTATTATATTAATTATTTTTATAAAAAATATGTATATGTATGATGAAAAGAGTTGAAAAGATCCTTGTATTTTTTTTTCTTTTTTAATTATTATATTTTATTTTCTTTTAAAAAATCATTATTTTTTTAATAAATTTAAATTGGATCGGATCAGATCTAAAAATCCAACTTCTTCATAGAATTCGAATTTGAATCCACACTTATGAGATCCAGTTAGATCGCCTCTTAACAATGTCAGATCGAATTCAAATATATCGTGATCCAAATCCAATCCAATCCGTTTGCATCCATACTTTCCCTCATACCTTCCGAAATATCTTTCTTTCCACATCATCTAAAGTGATTAAAGGAAGAATCCCGATCAACATGCTCTTTGCCATCCCTAGTTCTCAAAATGAAACATTAGTTATAATATTATAAACACCAATAATAATGAGCTTATTTATTATGTCATATAATCTAATGAGGGGTAATTTGGTCCTCCAATGATATCACGACATGAGGCACTGCAGAACAATAGAGTGACACTTCGGCACCACGTAAATAGACCTCAGGATCACTTCAGGCACTTCACAATTGCATCGATGACCTTGCCACCACTCCAGGCAAGACCTCAGGTCGGCGTATGAAGCGACCTGCTTCCACCAATTTGACCCGACTCCAATTAGCGACCTACCTGACATGCTGAGTGACCTCCCCCTTAAGCGGGCTATCGCCTCCGAAATCCTTAGGATCACAACGTCATGTTTAAAGAGCTGGTTATCACCCCACCTGCTTCGAGCGGGATTGAATAAACGTTACCTGCTTATGCGGAGTCCACCTCCAGGCATGAAACCACCTCCGAACCAAAAGGGCCAGAGATCCTGAACGTGTTTCGTGAGGCTCACGGCAGCTCGCCTATATAAGGGCATCTCCTCAAACTTCATAAGGTACGTGCGATTTAGCTTTTGCAATTCTATAGCTCTCTTGCTTTCTTGCAAATAACTATTAGCTCGCTAACTTAAAATTCTGATAGTCACTTTCTTGGAGTTCGACCAAGCAACCTACTCAGTCCGACGTCCGAGCTGTCTATCAGCCGGGAGCACCAGATCGCACATCATCAATTGAAGTTGTCTATGGGAATTCTACACGAAAGCCATATTCTCATACTCCCTTTCTAACTACAAGTTCAATGGCATTTTCAAGCAACAACCCCACAACAATAATGTATGTGTTGACGGAGTTGACACAAGGGGGCAAGACCAACACACACCATGCATACCGACGTCCCCTCTATCACTATCAAGCAGTTCACCGTAGGGGTGAGCCTTATTCGATTAAAATCGAAATACTGAACCAAAAATTTCAGTTTTTAGAGTTAAAAATTCGGTTAACCAAAGAAACTGAATTAACTAAAATTCATTATATAATATATAATATATAATATGCTATATATTTATATATTATATATAATGTATTATAACAAAATTCAATTTCATAATATATTTTATAATATATATATTAATTCAATTCAGTTTTTAACCAAAAACCGAACCAAAAATCAGGTTAAAATTGGCAATTCATCATACTCCAATGCCTATCTTCCAAGGCAGCAACCCACTGGCAATTTGAGTCGCAAGATCAGGCTAAAATTTTTCAATTTAAGTCCAAACTTAGTGAAGGTCGTTGAGTTTGCATTTCTAAGCCCAAGCCCAATCCAAGAAAATAACGGGGTTGGCTCGAATAGGGTTTGGGTTGCCCAGCCCTAATTACATCTACCCACCCTAATTTCTAAGTTCCTATTAGACATGAGTCATCAGTGGTTATGCGGCTGATGGGCTGAAGAGCCCACGTACTCAAAGGCTCAAAGCTATATAGCGAGATAACAGGGGTACGATAACA